CCACAAGAGCCAAAATATGACCTTCAACATATCCCACCTGAATTTAGAGATCACCTCAAGAATGGATTTAATTATTTAAACGCTAACAGCAGAAGACCAGATGTCACTCTTGAAGGGATGACAGCAAAAGCATCATAAAGGAATAAAGCAAAAGGCCATTAAGAAGACAAGGAAGAAGGAAAATACTAAAATGGATGTCCGAAGAGACTCCGAAACTTGCTCTCCAGCATAGAAATAAAAAAGCAATTGGAAGAAATGAGGAAGTATAAGAGTCAAACAGAAAATTTCAAAGGACAGCTTGAAAACCAAAGTCAAATATTATCACAAAATTGACAGAGACCTGGAGTTAGAAAACATAAAGGGAAGTACATGCTTAGCATTTCTCAAGCCGAAAGAACTGAGGAAAAATTCAAGCCTTGACATGCAATATTGAAGAATTCTATGGTCAAAATACTGAATGTTGCAGAAAGCATAAAAAAGAAGATGGAAAGAATACACAGAGTTGCTGTACCAAAAAGAAATGTTCAGCCATTTCTAGAGGTAGCATATGGTCAAAAGCCAATGATACTGAAGGAAGAAATCGAAGGTTCACTGAAGGCATTGGAAAAGAAGAAGACTCTGGGAATTGATAAAATAAACTTGAAATATTTCAACAAAGAGGTAGCACTGAAGGAACACAGTGATCTATGCCAATAAATTTGGAAGTCAACCAACCTACTTGGCCATTGATTGGAGGGTATCCATATTTGTGCCCATTCCAAAGACAGGAGACCCAACAGAATGAGAAAATCACCAGATAATATTATTGATATCTCATGCAATTAAATTTTGCTAAAAACAGTACAGTTCCAGAGAACTGCCCAAAGTTTAAGCCAGATTCAGGCAAGGACATGGACTGAGGTATGTCATTGCTGCCATCAGATGGATCCTGGCTAAGAGCAGAGAATACCAGAAACATGTTTATCTGTGCTTTATTGATTACACAAAGGCTTTCGATTGTGT